AAACTGTTTTTATACAAAATACTACCTTTATACAGGTATTTTCTAATGTCTGTTAGAGATTTCCTGGCTTACAGCAAGGAGTGGCTGCAGTTCCTAAAGAATATATTAAGCAGAGCTTTGCTTTATCAATTCTTCAAAGTATTTACATACATATATATTTTATTTTATTAATGCAAGATATCACATTCATCGCATTTTCTTTGGAAACCCAGACTATAGAAATTTTTCACTTTTTTTTAGGCAGAAACATTTTTCTCATTCCTGCTCCAGCTAGCCCACTTTATAAAACCAATTGTTCTGCCATGCTTATTGAAGCTCTTTTCTACTTACATCTTACTTAGGTAAGATACTACCCATTTTATGAATAGCTAATAACAGCCAATTATATTTTTGAGTGTAATTTGTTACAATTTTGGGTTTTTGTTTGTTTTGAGTTGGAGTCTCACTCTATTGCCTAGACTGGAGTGCAGTGGCATGATCTCAGCTGACTACAATTTCTGCCTTCCGAGTTCAAGTGATTCTTCTGCCTCAGCCTCCTGTGTAGCTGGGATTACAGGCATGCACCACCACAGCCAGCTATTTTTTAAATTTTTAATAGAGACAGGGTTCTACCATGTTGATCAGGCCGGTCTTGAACTCCTGACCTCATGTTCCACCTGCCTTCTCAAACTGCTGGGATTATGGGTGTGAACCACGATGCCCAGCCAAAATTTTGTTTTTAAACATGTTCTAATAAAGTCATATTGTATCCCAATAGAAAATTTCATTATTTGTTGACTCAGGTAACATGAAATAGAGTGGCATTACTGTGCCAGAATAAGTAATAATGACACACAGAAATTTTTTTAAATCTCTTAAAATACTAGAAAAATATTCATGAAGTTTTAGTCAGAGTGTCACTGGGACTAATATTTTTTTTTATTTGTTTTTCAGCTTGGTTTTTAAAAGAATGTACAATTCCTCTGTGGAATACTTCTGAGAAGATGAACATGAATATGGTATGATATAAAGAGCATTAGCGTGAAGATTTCTGAAGCTCTCTAGAGGAGAATTGAAGATGCAAACAAGAACAATAATTACAAGTGTTAAGAAATAAATGGATCAAGATAAAGAAAGACCAGTTAAGGATTTACAGCTGGGGACAACTCATGTATTTTTGCTGCATTAAATGAGAAAAGCATAATAAATGGGTGAAACTATTTTTCTGTGTATGCATAGATCTAATTGATAGTTTTATATGCTTCTATTTCATGAAAAACATTGCTCTCTCCTTGTTTCAGCAGCTAACATGAATAGTGGTTTTCTCTCCTTCTAGTTCTTCACCAGTCTGATTGCTGTGACATCACTAGGGTAACCTAAGATATTATTCTTATAACAAAGCAGAATTTAAAAATTATAAACCTTGAAATAGCATTAAGATTGTCATTGTACAGAAAAGACAGATTACAGTAAAAAAAAAAAGTTCTAAAATAAAACAAGGAAAAATGTAATGCTGACAAGTCAGAGAAATCATAGGAAGAGAAAATATCAGGATTAATCAAAATACGTAAGAGAATAAAAGATAGAGATAAAAGACATGTAACAAAAAGTCTGCCTTCAGGAAACAATGTCTTCTGATAAGATTTCTTTTTTTAACTACTGAGATTAAATTCCTATTATAACTTCAGGGCCTGAGGACAAACAATGTCATATATGTCATAAAAAATAATTTGGTGTCAAAAAGTAAAGTTTTTAAAAACCTGACAAATGTGGCTTTCTATGTATATGACTAATTATTTGGTATATATTTATGTACTTGAATAAGTATCCAGTGTTGTCTAGTTTTAAAATATACTAAAAAAGTAAGACCGTAAGGCCATGGACACAGAATTTCCTTTTTACTGCTGTCCTTATGTTCACAGATTTTCAGGATTAGCAATATTTTTCAATGTCTTTCAAAAATTAGCAAATACATTTTTTAAATACTTTCTATAATGTGATGTAGCAAAAAAAGATGTTTTTGTGTGTTTTCAATTTGTAAAACCTAAAGATCAATAAAATTTTAAAATATACTTTGATAAATGTGAAAATGCTGAAATAAATATTATTTTTGTATTTTGAATGATCAATATAATGTCAAAATAAAGATAATTTTGAAAAAGTGAAAAAAGTCACAATTTAAGTAAAGCTGTTAAAGATTAGTACTTACAAAGGAAAGTAAAATAATGGCTGTCGATAATTCTCATCTATATGTACTATTAAAACTAACTATACTCTTGTCATATTGTTAGCTATCCACTTCTACAACAGGACATTTCTAGGATTTTTTGTAAGCTTTTTAACTTCACTTTTCTAATTATTAGAAGCAGTGTCTAAACCATATAAATACAAAACTTGTAGCTTTAAAAGTTTAAGATTTCAAGTAATTATTATGTTTGTCTATTCACTGACATAAATTATTATAAAAATAATACTTTTTTGTCAGGGTAACTGCACATTATTTTACACATAAATTCCAATTTGATTCATGTACTCATATTCCAGGAATACAAATAAGATTTTGTCATTATTGTTTTACATACAATCATCTCTTACACTTTTCTACTTTTTATTAAAAAGTCATTTTCAAATGTCTTCCTACTTACTACTATAATCTAAACTTTCTGGAGTCACTTTATTGGACAGAAATGAACTAAGTCTTTTCAAAGGTGGTAATTCAATTACTAGCTTAATGAGATTTATGTTTTATACTAAGAGAGAAATAACTATTAAAATAAATTTATTTTAAGTAGAAAAACACCAGAAATACGTATAAAGATAATCAGAGTAACATGGGTCATATAGATACTGTGATTATATAAAAATGTGAGTTTGATAAAAACCTCAGTGTTTTAGAAAATACTGTTATAAAGATACAGCTAACAACTAAAATGCAATAGTTAGAAACTCAATCCACCACACACACTCACACACACACACACCTTTTTGGTTTTGTTCTTTGTCCCTTACTGTAATGCTTTCCTGGCTTTTTTCAGCATGACCAATTTCTATATGACTTTATGGTAAAATATAAGAACTCATTTTCCTCAATAATTTTAAACTGAGTAAGCATACTTCAAATAAGTTTATTCCTTCCTGTATAGGCTTTCTGTTTCATTAAAAATTTTAATTAGATTTTACTCAAATGTTTATAAATTTTAGGTTTGTTGACTATTTGAAATTTATTTCTACATTTTTAGATGAATGTATTGTCTTCCAAATAAGACTACCTTTTGGCAATCATGGCACATTTTTTATCTATATTGAAATAGTCTTTGTGTTGGGCATAATACCATAGGTTTAGAAAGTACTCAGTAATTATTCCATGTTTGTCCTAAAATAAAGCAATATAAGAGCTCTCCTTATTTACTGTGAAGTATTATTAATTTATTACATTAAATTGTGAGTTTCGTGATTATTTTCACAAAATAATCATTGCTCAACTAAACCTAAAATATTATAAACGTTCCCCACCAAAAATCATAGAATATACAACACCAACAGTGAACTGATAGCAAAATTTCAGGAGTTCAGTCAAGGTCCTGCTGCTCATTGCTCAGAAAGCCAATGACTGAGACTACAAGTATTGGCAAAGAAGAAGGCTTTAATCAGGTGGTACAGCTGAGGAGATAGGAGGTGTCTCAAATCTGTCTCCCTGAATGACTAAAACCAGGGGTTTACATAGCAGTTATTTTTGTAAAATGTAGAAACTTACTCTTCTGTTCTTAAAGGTTGATGCTTCTATTTATTTTATCTGAGTTCTTTCCTTAGGAAAGGGTCCCTTAGCCCTCTCAAAAGTATCAAAGAACTAAAACTCACCAGATCACCACCTCCAAACAATGAGATGCTGGACCCCTCATTCATTATGACTGTGTCCGTTCCCCTACATAGTTCCTGTTTCCTTACGCAAATAACTGTCTATGGAACTATTGGGTCAGTTTCAGAGCCTTAAACGATGGAATTTTAGTTATTATGATCTTCCAGTGTATTCATTAGTTTCAACAAATGTACTGTCTGTTGAGGGATGTTTATAATTGGGGATGCTATGTATGTGTGGGGAAATGGTTATATGGGAAATCTCTGTACTTTCTACTTAATTTTTTCTATGAAACAAAAACTGCTCCAAAAATAAAATTTGTAAAAACAATATTTGCCAGTATTATAGACTTTATTTTGAGACGGAGACTCACTCTGTCACCCTGGCTGGAATGCAGTGGTGCTATCTCAGCTCACTGCAACCTCTGCCTCCCAGGTTCAAGCAATTCTCTGCCTCAGCTTCGCAAGTAGTTGGCATTACACCACCACACCCAGCTAATTTTTGTAATTTTAGTAGAGATGGGGTTCACCATCTTGACGGGGCTGGTCTTGGTCTCCTGACCTGATGATTTGCCTGCTCAGCCTCCAAAGTTCTGGGATTACAGGCAAGAGCCACTGCACTCAACCAACATTTTATGTTTAACATCTGGGATAAACTTTATGGAAAAGGTCTAAAAATATTAATTGAAATACATCAAATATAAATATTTTTAATAAATCGTAATAGATTTGTAGTTGAGGTAGATTCATCTATGAATAAAATTAAACACTATAATTTAAATGAATTGTGTGAAGAATTTCTATATGAGTAATACTTGAGGAGTATAAATACATGAAATACAAATTTGCCTAATATTTTGCTTAAATATAAATACTTATATTAATGTCTTTAATATATAGAAAGTTTTCTCTTCTAATACAATAAAGTTTAAATATAAACTAAGAACAACTTTGTGAAGAAAAATTGGAAATGCTAGAGATTAAAGGATCAATTAAAGTTAAATGTTAGAATATTTACACTCAAGAAATATTAAGCAAACTATTGTTTCTGAGCTCTATGAAAAACTATGGTTTCCATACACTCTATCATATATTGCACTTACAGAAAAATTTAAACCTATTTGAACATAAAACACTGTAAATTCTAAATAATACATAAAACTTACATGTTTTGTGTAACTTTTGCTTAACATCATGAATAGTAGATGATTGTGTCACCTGAAAAGGAAAAGACAATAGAATTAGTTTTTAAAGCTGTTCACTTGTTTTCTATCCATTTGTTTAAGAAAAAAAAACCTTTAAAATATATCATAAAAGTCTTACACAATAGGAATTTCTTCTTTCTTTACCTTTTTAGAGATTACTGTTTTGACAAACTTGAAAAGTTGGAATCACATTTGTATACAACAGTAATAGTGTTATCACATTAATTAATCAATTGTTTCCCCTAAGATATATTTTTGAAATTTCTTTGTCTAAAATATTCAATATATTTTTCCACATCTCATAAAACTATCAATTAAAAATATGACTTAATGTACAGGAAAGTAAAAGAATGTATAGCAATAGTACTGAGGATGTGAAGTTAATTTATATGGACAAATGAGAGAAATGTTTACATCAGAATATTATTTGATATCACCTTATACCCCCTACTGACATTATTTAAATCCCCAAATAAGAGTATTAAAAGTCCATTAAAATGCATGTGAGATATATATTTTTGGATTCCTTAAATATGTAGTAATTTCAAAAAATATGTGGTCCTAAATTACTAAAACTAACTCCATACATTAGAAAAATGAGTAAAGTAAGTTTTATTTATCTAAATTAAAAAATTATTGAGGACAATAATGACATCCAAACATCTCAAGCCATCACAATATTTTTTCGACTTTCTGAATTTGTCTCAAAAGACATTTTCATGATAATTCAAGAAAATATATTTTCTTTCCCTGAATAGGCATATGGTATTAGGGAAATTTATTATAATCATATGTCTACATGATTTATTTATGCTGACTAAAATCCCCTTGTAGCTATTTTGAAAGTGTTAAATAAAAAATGCATAAACTGTTTGTCCATAATGGTCCATCAAAAAAATGTAGTTCTTAAAATTGTTATATTTAGTGTTTTATTATGCACTGAAAGTGTAACAACAAATATATTTATTTTAACACATTCCACTCTGTACATAAAAGGATTACTACCAAGCTTTCAATATACCATTCAGAATTTTTTTCTGATTTTCTGTATGTATATGATTTACTAAATAAGACAGTTATGAAATTTAACCTTAGAAAGTAATAGGAATTCCAATTTTTGTTATGCTACTAATAAAACATGATCCTGAAACATTCTGTGTGTATACGATTTTCAAATGTCTCATGGCATTGCTCTTCTCTGAAAGATGTTAGAAAAATTTAAAAACAGTTTATAGAAAGAGCAATATATATTTATATGCTCATGCATATATTTTAATTTTGGTTATTGACCTTTGATATTTAAATTTTATTTTAAAATGCTGTTTTAACAATATCCATTGTTTTACCTCAATGTTCCTTATTCATTCAGCATTTTTATATATTTCTTTCTCTGACAGAGTGGACTAAAGCCCCCATGATATTCGCTAGAGTAATAAATATTTGTCCATTAGTCATATCAAGAGCCTTGCAATTTTAAATAAAAAATAATTTTCATGATCAGTAATCCCTCCATTTGTGTTTGATATGTGTTCATCTAGCATTTTATAAGGGCACATTTTCTTGTATTATGCATTGTTTGTTCAATCTATATGGAGCAGAGGATAATGATCTAGGGTTACTTTTCTTTTTAATCATGTAGTTTATCACATAGCATAAAATAAATTTTAATTAACTTTTTTAGAAGTCAGACATAAAACTGTGAGTGCAAACACGTGAAAACAGAGTAAGATCAAAGTTTCTTAATCTGATATGCAAACGTTGTATGCCTTTCCCCAAACCATAATGATGTAATAGACAATTTTCTAATTTGATATATTCATTTTTCTTTGAATTTGCTTATTTTCGAGACTCGGAATATGTTTTTCTGGAAGAAATCATCATGTGGAATAGGGATGTATTATAAGTTCTTAACATTTTTTAAAGAATTTCATTGGACTTTCACGTTAGAAAAGTGCTTATTTTGAAGAAATCCTCGAGAACTTGCCTTTTCTGTAGTAATTTTAGACAAAACAAATCAGAAAGAAATTAACTACTAAATGATTCATACATGTATTCAGTTAGCCACAAGACTGTTTGATATGCTGTTTTCAGTCCTTTAGTTGTACTGAAAGCACAAAGAGAGGAAAATATGATGATTAACTGAGCATATAAGAGCTTCTGATGACTAAATTGATGCCTCAGTGGCTTCATCAGGGAGTTTATTTATCCTAACTTCTACTTTTTAGTTAGTTTTATAACATCTCAAAAAGGATAAACTATCATCACTGTAATTTATTCAATTTCCATAATTATACAGATGGCAGTTACTTGAAACCCTACATTTGAAACCTTAATATTCTCTTTATTGATGTTTCTTTCTCATAAAAGAAAATGAATCTTAAAATAGTGAGTAGACAAGGCAAATGATTTACTTCTGGCTGGGCTTAGTGGCTCACACCTGTAATTCTAGCACTTTAGGAGGCCAAGGCAGGCTGATCACGAGGTCAAGAGATCTAGACTATCCTGGCCAACATGATGAAATCCCATCTCTACCAAAAATACAAAAATAAGCTGGATGTGGTGGCACATGCCTGTAGTCCGAGCTGCTCAGGAGGCTGAGGCAGAATTGCTTGAACCCTGGAAGTGGAGGTTGCAGTGAGCTGAGCCTGGTGACAGAGCATGACTCCCTCTCAAGAAAAAAAAACATGAAGTCCTTGCCTACTCCTATGTCCTGGATGGTTTTGCCTAGATTTCCTTCTAGGGTTTTTATGGTGCCGGGTCTTATGTTTAAGTCTTTAATCCATCTGGAGTTAATTTTGGTGTAAGGTGTCAGGAAGGGGTCCAGTTTCTGCTTTCTACACATGGCTAGCCAGTTTTCCCAACACCATTTGTTGAACAGGGAGTCCTTTCCCCATTGCTTGTTTTTGTCAGGTTTATCAAAGATTGTATGGTTGTAGCTATGTTGTGTTGCCTCTGATGCCTCTGTTCTGTTCCATTGATCTATATCTCTGTTTTGGTACCAGTACCATGCTGTTTTGATTACTGTAGCCTTATAGTATAGTTTGAAATCCGGTAGTGTGATGCCCCCCGCTGTGTTCTTTTTGCTTAGAATTGACTTGGCTATGCGGGCTCTATTTTGGTTCCATATGAAGTTCAAGGTGGTTTTTTCCAGTTCTGTGAAGAAAGTCAATGGTAGCTTGATGGGGATAGTGTTGATTCTGTAAATTACTTTGGGCAGTATAGCCATTTTCACGATATTAATTCTTCCTAACCATGAACATGGAATGTTTCTCCATCTGTTTGTGTCCTCTCTGATTTCATTGAGCAGTGGTTTGTAGTTTTCCCTGAAGAGGTCTCTTACGTTCCTTGTGAGTTGTATTCCAAGGTATTTTATTCTTTTTGTAGCAATTGTGAATGGCAGTTCATAGGAGTAGGCAAGGACTTCATGAACAAAACACCAAAAGCATTGGCAACAAAAGCCAAAATAGACAAATGGGACCTAATGAAACTCCACAGCTTCTGCACAGCAAAAGAAACAGTCTCTAGTGTGAATCGGCAACCAACAGAATGGGAAAAAATTTTTGCAGTTTACTCATCTGACAAAGGGCTGATATCCAGAATTTACAAAGAACTCAAACAGATTTACAGGAAAAAAAAAAAAAAAACAAACAAGCCCATTCAAAAGTGGTCAAAGGATATGAACAGACACTTTACGAAAGAAGACATATATGAGGCCAACAATCATATGAAAAAATGCTCATCGTCACTGGTCATCAGAGAGATGCAAATCAAAACCATATTGAGATACCATCTCACGCCAGTTAGCATGGCGATCATTAAAAAATCTGGAGACAACAGATGCTGGAGAGGATGTGGAGAAAAAGGAACACTTTTACACTGTTGGTGGGAGTGTAAATTAGTCCAACCATTGTGGAAGACAGTGTGGTGATTCCTCAAGGCCTTAGAAATAGAAATCCCATTTGACCCAGCAATCCCATTACTGGGTATATATCCAAAGGATTATAAATCATTCTACTATAAGGACACATGCACACGAATGTTCATTGCAGCACTGTTTACAATAGCAAAGACCTGGAATCAACCCAAATGTCCATCGATGATAGACTGGATTGGGAAAATGTGGCACATATACACCATGGAATATTATGCAGCAATCAGAAATGATGAGTTTGTGTCGTTTGTAGGGACATGGATGAATCTGGAGAACATCATTCTCAGCAAACTGACACAAGAACAGAAAATGAAACACCGCATATTCTCACTCATAGGCGGGTGATGAAAAATGAGAACACATGGACACAGAGAGGGGAGTACTAAACACTGGGGTCTATAGGGGGAAAAGGGGAGGGCCAGTGGGAGGGGGAGGTGGGGAGGGATTGCCAGGGGAGAAATACCAAATGTGGGTGAAGGGGAGAAAGCAAACAAAACACACTGCCCTGTGTGTACCTATGCAACTGTATTGCATGCTCTGCACATGTACCCCAAAACCTAAAATGCAATAAAAACAAACAAACAAACAAAAACTTCTAAATTTTAACCGATTATAGTTAAAATTTGAGTTATAACTTTATCCTGCATTTACGTTGATGAAGATGAAAAAGCTTTTTCAATCAAGCATTTAATCTAGAATTTGTTTGCATTTTTCCTATATATATTTTCTACGATTTTTCAAATAAATCTCTTTGTTTGTAAAACCATATTTCAGCTACTTTCACTATAAATACTTAAAATATACAGATGGCTCAAAATACTGCTTACCCTCATTAGAGCAATGGAAATTAAACAGTAACCATTTCACATTCACTTGATGGGATTTTTGTAGCATAAAAACCTAAATTTGTCTGTAAACTTAATAAAAAAAAGAACTTGTCTAAAAGTAAAGGTGCAGAAATATAACCAGAGTAATAGATAAACTAATATGAATAATTAGATATAGAAGTGTGAAATGCAGAATCAGATACACAGAGAAATACAAAATGCCCAATGCAGGTTCCTACCTAAACAGAGATGTTT